GTCGCAGTTACCTTCCCGTGGCCGCTCCCCGTTTGATATAGCTGGCTCAGAGGAAGATTCAGCAGACCGAGTTCAGCATTACGGATTAATATTCTCTGGAGGAGGCACGTAACCTCGCGCCGCCGGGCTCTCGTTATTACCGTCTGTGGTGTCGAATGAGATGCCTCTTCGCGAGACTACAGCCCATATTCGAAATTCTCTGGTGAAGCCTTCGCGCGCTCGGCGAAAGCGCGAGACGACGACGACGACGACGACGACGACGGCGGCGGTGGCGACGCGTTCTCTCGCTGCGCGCGCGCGTTCCTTTCCCCTTTCATAATTCTTTCCCGGCAGCTTTTGATCTGTCCTCGCAGCCGCGTCGCGCGGATGTCAAAAGCGGCAATTGAGCGTGTAATTTGTTTTCGCGGATGTACAGGTAAATAAATTAGTATTTCGCATGCCGAGCGCGCGAGACGTCGAGACGCGTCTCTTGCCTCCTCGCTATTTAAGTGGATGTCAAAGCGGGCGAGGAAAATTGAGAAACGTCGATGACGCGGTGACGAGTGTCAGAACGTCACGTCAAATCAGTTCTCGCACGATCACGCTGTCCTTTTCGTATTTCTCGCACGCTCGGGACTTATATATCGATGTGTACTGTCTGCTTCCGTCGCGTAATATCTTGTCGTTTAGCGGGCAGCGTCACGGCGCGCATAGAGAAACATTTCTGCAAAGTTTGCGCGGATATTTTTGACCAAGTCCAATTCAGCTGCAGAGCGGAGCTCGTTTGGAACTTTCACGACCGCACGAGGTTTACAAATTCTTCGTTACATATCGGGCGACCGATTCATCCGCGCAGCGCTGTTTTCACGAACGCCGTTCTAGAAGCGTCTCTAGTTCCGCGTGCAGTCAATGAGACGTAAATTTCGCGTCAAACAAGCGTCGGTGTTTCGTCGTCAAAATCACCAAGTCCCCGATAACGAGCGAGCTAATAAATCGTCGGGCGCTGCTCGGCCATAGCCGTCTTCACGTCGGAAACGCCCGCGAGCGCGCGGCGCTTATTAATAAAGTATTGGGTTGGCAACTAAGTGATTGCGGATTTTGTCGACAGATGGATTTTACACTTTCTTTTGTTTCGTTAACGTTAGGTTCAAAGTACCTAACCTATATTTTTTTCTTATTGTTTGGACTTCTACCTTTCATTTAGTACAAAAATTATATCGATTAGTTGTTTAGTTTTGTTTTTATCCCAATTTAAAAGTGGAAGAGCAAGACGTGCACTTGAGACATATTTTATTGTATTATTTCCGAAAAGGCAAGAACGCATCGCAAGCACACAAGAAGTTATGTGCCGTAAATGGGAATGAAGCCTTGAAAGAAAGGCAGTGTCAAAATTGGTTTGCCAGATTTCGTTCTGGTGATTTTTCATTGAAAAATGCTCAACGATCTGGCCGTCCAGTTGAAGTCGATGAGACCCATATCAAGGCCATTATCGATTCAGATCGTCATAGCACAACACGCGATATTTTGCAGAGAAGCTCAATGTGTCGCATACATGCATTGAAAAAAATTTAAAAAAGCAAATTTGAAATTTTGAATTTTCATTCTTATTTAAAATCCGCAATCACTTAGTTGCCAACCCAATAGAATCGGAAAACGGAGACGAACGGCCTTGATTTTCGTTCGATGCGTCGATCATCGGTGTTTGCAGCGCCGACTGTGGTGCTATCGTAGATGAAATCTTCACCGATCGCGCCGCGAAGGATACCGAGCGATACGGCATCGGCATCGGCGGCCCGGCCGAACAATTGAAGCGTACGCCAGTGGCCGTTTATTTGTCGCGTGAGTCTCAGGATCGCTCCGTTGGAAAAACGAATTCCTCCCCCGCCCGCGCCGGCCCGGCCGGAGACACGTCCCGAAGCACGAAATTACGGAGAGTCCTTCCTTCCCGCCCGCCCGCCCGGCTAGGACGGCGCATGCGTGCGTGTCACGCAGGATCACGGCGGAGATGCTGCGGCGCGTTGTTAGCATGATCCAGCGAATGAAAAGTTTAATGCGCCGGCACTTCGGGGATCGCACGGCGATATTTCCTCGGAGAAGGCACGTAAGCCTCCAGCCATAGCGAGAGCGAGAGCGGTGAACGAGGGTGAAAGAGGGTGGCGGCGTTGTGTCGTGTCGCGTTATCATTGCCGAGTACAGCGCGACAAGGTGCGCCATGTTCTCTCCCGCAGCCTCCGCCATATATTAAACCCCGCGCGCCGCGTGCGCGAATTCTTCATTAAACGCTTAAAAGATTTAGCCCAAACTATCCCCGTGATTCCATTAAATTGACTCATTGATGCGCGCGCGCTCCCCGAGGGGCCGGCGGTGGCGGCGGTGGCGGCGATGAGCCCGCTTGCAGCTTCCCGGTGATCCGGGACGACCGAATTTCGTGAACTGGCGCGCCCCCGCCGCTCCACCCCGCCCTGCAACGCATGACTCTTTTATTTCCTTTAAAATGAGAGCGCGGACGCAAACATGCGGATACATTTTTTAGCGTCCGCACGCCTCGCTCGCTTTCCCCTGTCCCTCTCCCCCTGCCCTCCTCCCTCTCCTGCTCCACCTCGAACCTCCCCGTTTCGCTCTGTCGTGTCATGAATTAAACATATAAATTTTGACCGCGACGGAACGCAATGATGTTCGATTTGATACGCCAACTGCGATTGGTTCGTTTTCGTGGGAAATATCCGTCGATAGGGAGCGGGGGGAGGGGGTGGTGAGGGGAGAGGAGCAGGGAGAGATGTGACACGCATTGTGGAAAAAAATAATAAACTTTTAACGCGCACCACCGCGAGTGGAAAATACCCGCCGCGCGTGTCGGCGGTAATTTCATTCGCGAAATGCCATTGCGCGCAATTCCGCGCGACTACGTCGAGATTATAAGGAGAGCGCGCACGAGAGAGAGAGAGAGAGAGAGAGAGAGAGAGAGAGAGAGAGAGAGAGACTCTTCTCGTTCTCAAAGAGCACGTAAGCTCGCACCGCCATCTCTCGTCATCGTCCTGCTCGGAGCATCGCTCCTTTGCAGCAGCGGCAGCATCCGCCGTCCCGGCCCGGCGTATGCGCATTTCCTGTGCGTACGTGTGTGTGTGTGTGTGTGTGTGTGTGAGTGTGTGTGTGTGTGCGTGCGATAAATAAGCGGACGCATCTGTAAATAGATGCGTCTCCGTCTTGTGTTTCCCATCTCTCCGCTCCTTTTCCCACTCTTTTTCTCTCTTCCTTTTTCTTTCTCGGTCTCATGATATGCTGCTCGTCGCCCGACTTTTCGAGACGTCGACGATTCGACGCATTCGTAACGTTTCGGCATTTTGGAACAAGAAAGGGTTTGGAAGAAGGAAGATGGGGGAGAGGTGAGAGAGAGAGAGAGAGAGAGAGAGAGAGAGAGAGAGAGAATGAGAGAGAGAGAATGAGAGAGAGAGAATGAGAGAGAGAGAATGAGAGAGAGAGAGAGAATGAGAGAGAAGGTGAGAATGAGAGAGAGAGAGAGAGAGAGGGGGGGAGAGAAAGAAAGAGAGAAAGGTCAGAATTCCATCCGCCTAGAACTAATATTTTGAATATTAAACATTTAACCGTCGAGTTTAACATCGTAACATTCCGACCGAGAACGCAACAATGTAGCAACATAAATGAGCTCTGCTGAATACCACCCGGCGCATAATCCGCAATTTCTAACGCTTCATTTAAATGAGGGAAACACATCGAGTCGCGCCAACGATCGCATCGCGCCGTCCGAACGCCCTCACCCACTCCGTCCCCCCGTCCCTTCCCCAAGGAAAAGGGGAAAAAATATGTACTCGTACACCGAGTATCATACCGGTGATCGTTTAAACACCGAGGACACACACACACACACACACACACACACACACACACATATACGCATACATGAGCGCGCGCTCTGCGACCTGCGAGACGCTGGAAATTGCAACGTGCGCCGCGTCGCCGAATGGCATCGCGCTGTAGAGAGAGAGCGAGAGAGAGAGAGAGAGAGTAAGAGAAGAGAGAGCGAGCCAGTTGTACGATGCTCGCGATGCGACCGTCGCTGTTATTACGCTTTATATACCGTACGATAACTCATCATCATTGTCCACGGCGTCGCTCGGCGGCGAGACTCCCGACTCGGAAAGTCGCGAGAATTCTTTCTCGATGGCACCGCGCGCCGCAATGTGTAATTCGCTCCGTAATGTCCTGCCTCCCTCCCTCCCTCCATCTCTCTCTCTCTCTCTCCCTCGCCGGCGACCGACAGAAGTCACGTATCTGCGTTTAGCCAGCATCCTCATCGCGGTCGACGCGGCTTGGTCGCCCGAGAGCAAGAGTGAGAGAGAGAGAGAGAGAGAGAGAGAGAGAGAGAGAGAGGGAGGGGGGGAGAGAGAGAGACAGACAACTCGCCGGGAGCGGAGCGGAGCCGCCGGGGTCCCTGCACTCTCGCGGCCTTCGTGTACGCGGCGCATACGTACGCACTTACCCCGTAGATTTTCACGAGGTCGTGTGCGCGGTGGTAGCCATCCTCCGCTGGAGCGGTGACGAGCAACGACGACGACGACGACGACGACGACGAGCACGACGAGCCATCGGCAGCGACGCGGCGGCGGAAGCGACGTACGGCGCGTGGCGTGCGCATGCGCCTGCCACCGCTACCGCCGCCAACTTCATAGCATCCCCTCCGAGTCGGGCATCCGCCACGCGACCGTAGCCCCCACCAAGAATGTGAGCGTGTGTCACGCTCCGGGTAGCTCGGTGCGTGCCCATTATTAGGAGGGGGTAAGGGGCGCGTGTAGGCAGCGTCGCGTGGGGGTTGCCAGGTTGCGGCGTGGTGGGGGTGAAAGTACGCTTGGCAAAGGGACCGCCAGTAGTTTCGTGCTGCCTGCCGTGCAGGTCGGATGACGACGAACGCGACGTGATAGTCTCGTCCCGGAGCAACCCTTACCCAGTCTATCTTTCTCTCTCTCTCTCTCTCTCTCTCTCTCTCTGTCCCTCTCTCTCTCTCTCTCTCTCTCTCTCTCTCTCTCTCTCTCTCTCTCTTTCCGTCTATCCCTGCGAAACGAGCAGTTGCACATCGACAACAGCGTCGTGTCGCGCGGCCGTTCGCTCGAGGTCTCAGCGGCGAGCCTCGAGGTGATTGAAGTGCACGAGGAGTTCGATCGAGCAGTAGCTACGTCGTCGTCGTCGTCGTCGTCGTCATCGTCGCTGTCGCCGCTGCCGCCGCCGCCGCCGCCGCTGCCGTTGCCGCTGTCGTCGTGTCGTCATCGTCGTCGTCGTGGTCGCGCGCGCGCCTCGTCTCTCTCGCGCTCTCAGCCGCGCGCGCGCGCGCTCGCTCACTCGCTCGCTGCCTCGCGCGAAGCGGATCCTCGTCCTCGGAATCGGCGTAGACGAGAGCGACTCGCGCGATCGAGCAGTCGCGCGCGCGAGGACGTGTCGTAATGCCGCGGGCCGACCGACGCGGCTCGCCGAGAGGACTCGCGGGTGCGGAGGGTGCTTCGATCTCGTCCTGACGATACCAGCCCGTACACGCGTCGTCCTCGATGGACGCCAGTGGTGGTGCGTATCCGCGTTAGGGGAATGCTGCTGATGAGTGAGTGAGCCTCCGACAAGATCTCTCATCGGCCGCGCTCGACGGTCCGGCGCTCGCGAGCGCGGATGGATCGAGGATTCGACTCTGGACAGATTGCGCTCGGCTCGCTGCCTCCGTTCGCGGCTTTCTTCGCGAGTCGCGCGTCGGATCGCTCTACGCCGCGGAAGAAGGCGACTCGTGACTCTCCGTCGCCTCCCCTCGCGAGAACGCGAGTGTGTGCACCGTGCGACGGCGTGTAACACGTGTGACAGTTGCCACCCGTGGGATACGTAACGGTGGATTATACGTTCTTCGGCTGCGGCAGGAGCCTTGCTGCCGTTTTGTGCGGGATTACACACACACATACACACACACACACACACACATACACACACATACACACGCACATTGCACACGTACACGCGCACACGCGACACGCATACACACGCGTACATATACATACGCGCGAGCGCGTCAGTGCTTTGTCGTCGTCGTCGTCGTCATTATCGTCGTCGCCGTCGCCGTCGCCGTCGTTTCTCTTCCGTCGCCTCTCGGTGCGTGCTCCGACGAATTCGTCTCGCCGAAGGATATGTCGACATAGTGTTTGCGCGTCCCACACGGATCGGAGCTACGCGATGGCCGGATACTCCTCCAGTGCGCCCGGTACGGATTTTTCGCCGGAAGCTACGCCAAGGATGCGGCGATCCACGATCGATGCCACCGTCCGGAGCGCCGGGCGGTCCTCCGGAGGACGCGCGATAACGAGGTAAGTCGCATGTACCCGCGTGTGTGTCCTCTCGCGGGGGAAATCCCGCGGAATCGCGCGGGATCGATTTCATCTGCCCCGCGCGCGCTAAATGAAGAAACTCGCGAGTCCGCGACGGGGGGAGGGGGGCAAGCGTAGGTGGCCGAAGTGCAACGTGCCCTCGCGAGATCGTGTTACCGGTTGTATTTCGGGCAGCGCTACGGACGGAAATATCTCGGGAGTGGATATTGTAATAAAACTCCACATGCGGAGTCAAAGATTCCGTGTCAGGTGCCGTTTGAGACTCGGACCCGTCGCTTGGAGAGCCACACGAAAACGGAGGGACAGGAGCAAGAGAGAGAGAGAGAGAGAGAGAGAGGATAAAATTAGATGCACGCGCGCGAACGAGCCGCTGAAGAGGCGTCGTATCAATTTTTAGCGACACCGACTTATCATCGTCGTAAAGTTGCACCGCGTAATTACGGAGCGTATCGCTTGAAATCTACCGCGAATACGCGAATGTATGGGCCCGTTCTGCTTCATAAGAATGGATATTGCTTACAAGAAAGTACAACGCGATGCTCCCCTCTGCTATCTCTCTCTCTCTCTCTCTCTCTTTCCGCTGTGAAATTATTTATTAAAAGCTAGCGAAGTGTACAGCGTGCCCCCTCTCTGTGACGCACGCATACGCGCACACACACGCACACACACACACACACTCCCTCTCTCCGTGTCTCTCTCTCCCTCTCTCTATGAGAGGAGCGTCCGAGCGGAAAATGTCCTTTTAATTGTGAAACGCACAACGTTATAATATACCGCTAAATTCACCTGCGCCGTAAATCACGCGACTTAATGGAAAATTGTGCAGCCCCGCGCGCGCGCGCGGGCGCGTCAATATTTCTCCGGGTCCTAAATTCAATATCTTGTCACTCGATACCTCTCCCCCCCCCTCTCTCTGTCTCTCTCTCTGTAGGTTTTAAATTCAATATCTTGTCGCGTCTCGCACAAGCCGATGCAAGTGTCGCGGCTGTGTACTCACTTTTCATCTGGCGAGCCCGGTGCACTTGCAACATTTAAAACGCGCGTCGCGTGTGCACGCACACACACACACACACACACGCACGCACGCTATCTCTCACCCTCGACTCCCCTCATCCCCCCTTTCTCGGCTTGGCGCATTTGCCACAATGCGGAATAATCTATGGGGATTCTAGTGACAACGGTCTACGCGCGTCCGTGGCGCGGTTATGCATGTATGCGCGAGCGCGCGCATGTGTGTGTGTGTGTGTGTGTGTGTGTATGCGCGTGTGTGCGTTCGACGCCTTAAAATATTCACGAGATCAATATTCCGCACTTGTCGCGATGTACGATTTTAGTCGAAACGCGCACGAGCGAGGGAGCGAGCGAGAGCGCGCACGAGGGAGTCTTTTCGGGAAATTCGAGCGATGGACGGGGCGCGGTTTTCCCGCGACGAAGGCGCGCGCTCCGCGAAATACGCGCGCGGGGGGGCGGCGGGGCTGGGTGAAAGCGCGTGTTTTTCGCGGTGGTGCGCGCAAAACGAGGACTGACCCACCCGGGGTCATCGTCGTCGACCGGGCCGAGATGAGCCCCGCGGCCGCGCCAATCGCCGCGTCGCGACCGCATCTGCTTCCCGCGAATTATCTCGTATAATATCGGATGCCGCGCGGCGATAGGACGTCGCAATTCCCCGATGTATTACGTGACACGTATAAACGTTTACGCGTGCGTGCGAGGGGGCGGCAGGGAGGAGGGATATACGGCAGCTCGCGATCGCGCTGGCGAAGAGAGTCGGTCCCCTCCTTTTCCCACCTTCCTTCTTTCATTCGGATGATTACACGAGCATACTTTGAGAAACAGGTGCGGGCCTAATGGACCCGTCCGCCCCGGCGGAGAGTTAAGTGACACGCTGTGAAATTAAATGCCGTTACCTCGTCCCCCTTCCCACCCGGCTCCCCCCTCCCTCCCCGCTAAGCCCGCTCGCCCGCGCGCGCGGCCGACCGCCACCCCTTCGAAGAAATTTACGCGATCGATAGAGAGATACGGCTGGTATAAATATGGCGCTACCGGGGTCCAAGATGCGCTTTAGATCGCCACATCGGCCGATGATAAATGGCCGAGTTAATGGCCGACGGTACTATTAATGAGAGAGGGAGAGAGAGAGCGAGCGAGCGAGCGAGCGAGCGAGAGGAGTATTTGTTGATGTCGGAGCGCGAAAGCCACGAGCGACCGTCCGGCGGCGAATCAGAGTAAAGGACGACGGTGGACGTTCAGATCAAGTGTTTGGCTCGTTTATTTTGCTTCGGAGAGGAGGAGGCCAGCATTCCGTTCGCCCTCCATCCTTAGCTCGCGGGCCGCGGGATGGAGGAGGATGTTTCGAGCTTGCGGCGGCGTGCGTTATCGATCGCGCGGCCGTCTGAAAATTTCAGCCCCGGGCTTAATTTATTAAGGCAAGGCTGATTTTGCGGCGTGACGTCCGGGAATACAAGCTCTGCTGCTGGCCGACGCAATAAAAGTGTAACGCAAATATTCGATATAACATCCCCGCGCCGCGGACGTCGCGTCTCGCTCGGGGAGAGATGGCTTCTAATACGCGCGCGCTCGTGCCGGCCTCGTGTGGGTTAATGTCTCTATATTCGGCCCGGTGTTTGTCACCGGAAGCGGGAATGTATAGATCGTATCGTGGCGGACGTTTACGCGCCTTCTCGTCTCGCGCGGATGGTGTAGAAATATTTAGACAACACCTGCCGAGATCCCCTGTAAATTCGCCGCGAAATCAATTATCCTTCGCACACACACTCTCGGCCGGGATGTATTAAAGGGATGCCGCGCGATACAGCCCCGGCGTTCCGCGCCCCCCCCCTCCCCTCCCCCCAGCCGTTGTTTGTTCGCGCCAGACGAGTCGCCGGTGGCGACGAAAATTTACGCTCGCGGAATCAAGACGGAAAGAAGGGTACACGCGGGAGGGAGGGCGGGATAAAGGCAAGAAAGAAACGTCGCGTTTGCTCTCCGTGCTGCTTAGTAGCGCGAATTGAACAGATGGATCTCTCTCTTTCTCTGTCTGTCTTCTCTCTCTCTCTCTCTCTCTTTCTATCTTCTTCCCCGTGTCTCCCCTCCCGTGAAATCGCAAAGAAAAATCGACTCGAGACGCGCGATACAGCCGCGAGGATTATAGCCGAGGATTACGACACGACGATAGCTCGGCTACGCGATCCGCGTACCGTTACTTTCTGTGTGTTTTACATATGTATGTTACACGATAAGCGAACACAACTCGTAATAATTAAGTCCGAGCGCGCAAGCACGAATGTGCGCTCGCGCACGGGACGCTCTACGGGTTAACTCGCGTGCATCCATCGGTGATTTTCAGCGTTTAATGAGAAATCTAAATTGCGCCGGCTGAATGCCGCAATGAGTTCCACCGCAAAGTTGCACCACGGGAGGAGCGGGGGCGGGGGAGGGGGAAGGGGCTACGCGCCAAGTTGGCGCAATCGGAATCTTAAGATTCTCACCAGAAGGTTAATTCCACTTAATAGTACGGGCGGGGAACTTCAATCTCGCAGGTTTTATAAGTTCGATAACGAAGCCGTACGGGGCGCGTCCACGCTCTAGCGCGCGTCTTCTTTCACTTACCTCCTCTTGCCGTCCTCTCCCTCCCCCCCCTCCTCTCCCTCTCTCTCTCTCTCTCTCTGAACGTCGTCGGGAAAAATTCTAGAGCCTCGCGGGACACCGAGGCGAGGGAGAGGATTACGGTCGAATCCGCGTGGGTGCGTCCTCGAAATGGAATTCGTCGGCGGAATTTTAATTTCGGCAATCGCGCGCGCGCGGCGATTTAATAACACGACGCCGGCCGCGCCGATGGATAAGAGTGCGTTCGGGGAAACGCTCGGACGAGAGGGAGGAGGAGAGGTAGCGCGACAAAAGCTCGCTCACGCGCTCGGGATGCACGCACGTTGTTGCCGGCTGGCTGGAAATCGCGATTTAACGTCGTCGACGCGCTCTTTTCTCTCTTCCCCTCTCTTTCTCTTAATGAAGCGTTCGATTACACAGCGTTGAATGAATCTCGCGGAACTTTCTCGCGCGCGCGCGCGAGACAGAGAGAGAGAGAGAGAGAGAGAGAGAGAGAGAGAGAGAGAGAGAGAGAGAGAGAGAGAGAGATTCGACCGGAGTTATTGTCTCAATCCCGTCAATTGAAAGCTCCTTTTATTTAGTCGCGCCGGCCCGTTATCGATGACAATCGATAACGCGCGCGCTCTCGCACCCCGGCGACCAGTGTATTACTATTTTCGCCTCTATTGTTATTGTCGCTCATTATTTACAGATTGCTATTAATTACGGTTCTCGGAATGAAAATTAATTCTTGATAAAACGTACGGTATGTGATCGAGTTACGGCCGGATTGTACCGTGAATAATTCAGATTCTATAATCGTCAGTGCATAGTTGTTCCGCCGGAGTCCGCCGCCAGCGCGGAAGAGAGAAAGGGCGAGAGAGAGAGAGAGAGAGAGAGAGAGAGAGAGAGAGAGAGAGAGAGAGAGAGAGCCTGCAACAACGCTGCGCGACATTAACAACATTTGCGCTTTCATTTTTGTTAATTCTCTTCCGACTAAATTACCTCGCACCGCGGAAGCTAAATGAAACAATCGATGCTGGCCGATACATCCACCGAGGTCATCGACGAGAACGAAATCGCGCTCGCGCCTCGTTTAAGTCAACGCGGGGTCAACCTGGCGCTTTTGAAATTTCGCGGCCGGGCGCCTCGTTTTTCTCCCCTCTGACAACTCCCGCGTCCCTTCCCCCCTCCCCCCCCCGAAGAAGTCCGCTCTGTCAGCTTTGGTTCGTGATGCGAAGATTGGGCAATGACTTTCCAAACCTTATCCCTCCTTTCCTTTCTCTCTCTCTCTCTCTCTTTCTTTCTTCGTCTGTCTTTGTATCAAGTTGAATTTTAACCGTGAAAATTATCGGCGGAATTCTGTATTCGCGAGCGACGATCGAAAACTTTGA